TCCATTCTGATGTGCATGAGGATCGGGAGGCCACCATGGCTCGTTTTTTGAATGGATTAAATAGGGAAATAGCTAATGAGATTGAGTTGAAACATTATGTGGAGTTGGAAGACATGCTACACATGACTATGAAGGTAGAGAGGCAATTGAAGAAAAAGGGGATAACAAGGTATTCTTCGGGTACTTCGGGTTCTAATCCAACGTTGAAACCGAGGTGGGACAACAATAAGATAGATGGGGCTGCTCCTAAGGTAAAAACTGAAATGCCAAAGGTAACTGAAGGAAGTGCTAGCAAGAGAATAGAAACACAATCGTCAGGAACCGAGACATCAAATGTTTTAGGTGTTTGGGAACCGGGCACATTGCTTCTCAATGTCCAAATAAAAGAGTAATGGTCTTGCGGGGAAATGGAGAAGTGGAGACTATAAGTGAAAGTGATTATGAAGACATGCCTGAATTGGAAGAACCTAGTGATGAAGACCGAGTGGAATATGGGTTGGCCGAGTTGTGGTCACGATGCAAGCTCTCAACACTTAAATCAAGGCTGATGACTTGGAGCTATAAAGAAAAAATATTTTCCATACATGGTGCTACATCAATAAAAAGCTATGTAGCTTAATCATTGACGGTGGAAGTTGTACAAATGTAGTTAGCACTAATCTTGTGAAGAAGTTAGGATTAATGATGCTTAAACACCCTAAACCCTATAAGTTGCAATGGTTAAATGAATGTAGGGAAGTCAATGTGAATAAAAGGGTGTTCATAAAATTTTCAATTGGGAGTTATAGGGACGAAGTACTATATGATGTAGTACATATGCATGCGGGTCATATCTTATTGGGCAGGTCGTGGCAATATGATAGAAATGTGATTCATGATGGGTATAAAAATAGGTGCAGCTTTGTCAAGGAAGAGAAGCCTATTACAATTGCACCGTTAACCCCGACACAGGTGTATGAGGACAAAATCAAATTGAAACATGAGGATGAAAGAGAAAGAAAGAGTTAGAGGAAAGGAAAGAAATGATTAGGCAAGAGAGTAAAAGAGAAAACAGTGAGATGACAAACAAGAGAGAAAATAGTGAGTTGGCTAAGAGAGAGAAAAAATGAGAGGAGCTACATGAGAGAGAAGTCGAAAGCGAATTTTTTTGTAAGAGGGAGTGAATTGAAAAAGGCACTTGTGGGAAAACAACAAATTATTCTCTTGGTGTACAAGGAGTCATACCTCAATCTTGAGGAAGCTAACACATCCCTCCCTAGTTTGGCTATTTCTTTATTGCAGGAATTCGATAATATATTCCCAGAGGACGTGCCTCATGGGCTACCCATTCGAGGCATTGAACACTAGATTGACTTTGTACCTGGCGCAGTCATTTCAAATCGACTAGCTTACCGAAATAATCCCGAATAAACAAAGGAGCTTCAAAGGTAAGTGGAGGAGTTGATGAGCAAGGAACATGTAAGGGAGAGCATGAGTCCATGTGCTGTGCCGGTGCTACTAGTACCAAAGAAGGATGGATCTTGGAAGATGTGCATAGATTGCAGGGTCATCAATAACATAATGGTAAAGTATCGTTACCCTATTCCTAGGTTGGATGATATGTTGGATGAACTATTTGGTGCATGCATATTTAGTAAAATTGACCTTAAGAGTGGGTACCATTAAATTCGCATGAGAGAAGGAGATGAGTAGAAAACTGCATTGAAAACAAAATATGGCTTGTATGAATGGTTAGTCATGCCGTTTGGACTTACAAATGCATCGAACACTTTTATGCGTTTAATGAACCATGTTTTGCGTGCTTTTATAGGTAAGTTCGTTGTGGTATACTTTGATGATATTTTAATCTATAGCAAGACCCTCAATGAACATATGGAATATTTAAGATGTGTGCTTGTGGTATTAAGGAAAGAACAACTTTATGCTAACTTCAAGAAATGCACATTTTGCATGGAAAGGGTTGTGTTCTTAGGATTTGTAATTAGTGCTAACGGGGTAGAAGTGGACGAGGAAAAGATAAAAGCTATTAAAGAGTGGCCAACACCTAAGACTATAATTGAGGTGAAAAGTTTTCATGGATTAGCTAGCTTTTATAGGCGATTTGTTAAAGATTTCAGCACTATCACCACACCATTCACTGAAATTGTTAAAAAGAGTGTGGGTTTTAAATGGGAAAACGAACAAGAGCATGCATTCAATACTATTAAGGATAGGTTATGTGAAGCACCGATTTTAGCACTACCTAACTTTGACAAGGCTTTCGAGATGAGTGTTTTTGATGCAGGATAAGAGGCCGATTGCATACTTCAGTGCAAAGTAGTGGAGCGGCGCTTAATTGTTCTACATATGACAAGGAGCTCCATTCACTTGTTCGAGCTTTGGAAACATAGCGCATTACCTGTGGCCAAGGGAGTTCGTGATTCACACAAACCATGAGTCATTAAAACACTTGCGGGGTCAAGGTAAGTTGAACAAAAGACATTTTAGATGGATGGAGTTCATTGAGACATTTCCCTACGTCATTCAGTATAAACAAGGTAAGGAAAATGTGGTTGCAGATGCGTTGTCTCGAAGGTATGTGCTTCTTAATTCCTTAAGTATAAAATTACTTGGTTTTGAATATATTAAGGACATGTAAATGAGTTAGATTTTTCCAGCATATATGTAACATGTAATAAAGGAGCGATAGATAAATTCTATAAGCATGATGGGTATTGTTTCGGGAAAATAAATTGTGTGTTCCCAATTGTTTTATGCGTGAATTGTAGTTAAGGAAACACACAGTGGGGGATTAATGGGACACTTTGGAGTTGTCAAGACTTTAGAGATGTTAAGGGAATATTTTTATTGGCCTAAAATGAGGATTGATGTTGAGAGAACTTGTGATCGATGCATAACTTGTAAACAGGCTAAGTCTAAGGTACGACCCCACGGGTTGTATACACCCTTACCCGTACTTAGTGAATCTTGTGTTGATATTTCTATGGATTTTGTATTAGGTTTGCTAGGACCAAAAAGGGTCGAGATTCTATCTTTGTAGTGGTAGATAGTTTTTCTAAAATGGCACACTTCATTCCATGCCATAAAACTGACGATGCCACTAACATTGCATATTTGTTCTTTAAGGAGATAGTGCGTTTACATGGAGTCCCTAAGAGCATAGTGTCTGATAGAGATGTTAAGTTTCTTAGTCATTTCTGGTGGGTTTTGTGGGGTAATTTAGGCACAAAATTGTTATTTTCTACTACATGTCACCCACAAACTCATGGACAAACTGAAGTAGTTAATAGAACCATGATTCAATTATTGCGCACTGTTGTTGATAAAAATTTGAAAAGTTGGGAAGAGTGTTTACCTTTTATTGAATTTGCATATAATAGGGCTATACACTCTACTACTTCATGTTCGCCATTTGAGGTTGTTTATGGGTTTAATCCACTAACACCATTGGATTTAATTCCTTTACCTGTGAATGAACGAAGTCGTTTAGTTGGTAAAGACACTCCATGAGAAGGTAATGTTGCAAATTGTGAATAAAACAAGCATTATCCAGAGCAGGCAAATAAGGGCAGGATGCGTGTTTCCTTTGAACTTGGTGATTGGTTTTGGGTGCATATGAGAAATGAGCACTTTTCGGAGCAAAGGAAATCAAAATTGCTACCAAGAGGCGATGGACTATTTCAAGCTCTTGAAAAGATTCATGACAATGCTTACAAACTGGATCTTCCAGGTACGTGCAATGTTTCAGTGACATTTAATGTTTCTAATCTCTCTCTTTTGATGCAGATACAGATTCAAGGACGAATCATTTTGAAGAGGGAGAAGATGATGTGAGCATGATTTGATAGTCGAAGGTAGACCGATGACACGTTCGAGAACAAAGCTTGTGAAAGCGGCGATGGGTTTATTGTGGCAAGCTACGGTGGACGAAATGACGATCGTGACGGTTAAAGGAGCAACTTTCATGAAGAGCTCGGGAGCCGAAATGGATTGGAGCAACTTGATTCAAGCTACGGAAGAAGATGCTGCGTTTTATAACTATGCGATTGCATAGTTATAATCACCATGTGGTCACATGGTGATTTACTGAAGTAAAACATGGGGATTCTGAAGCTTCTATGCGGCCGCATAGAGTAAATTGGAGCAGATTTTTTCCTTTTTAGCGAGTTTTCCCTATTTTGATAGACTTCCATTCCAATTGACACTCTTACCATTTTGGATTGATATTGCACATTTTTACTAGATTTCTACGTCTAGTATAAATAGTTATTTTATTCATTGTATTAAGGAGACAATATTATTGAGAGAATTGAAAGGCAATTATTGCTTCTAATTTCTCGTTCTTCATTGGACATTTGTGAACTTATCAAGAGTAATTCTTGTGGCGTTCAATCTTCCGGGTTTGATTCTTCATTGATTCCATCAAAAGGGTCGACGTTCGTTATTGAATCATTGGTTATTTTGATTCGTAAAGTTTAGAATCAATCCAAACTTGATTTACTTTTGCTATCTTGGGTTCTAAATCAATTTGTCGTGGGTTTGATAGTTCAACGCTATCCGGGTCCACATCATGAGGTGGAGAAGAGAGGTGGATGACAATGACGAGATGAGTGAAAATGGAAAACTATTTGGTGGTGGGCATTAGGCAAACCTTAGGTAGAGATTGGGAAAGAAGGAAATTTTGGATTTAGAGCTTCTCTTTGAAATTCTGTGGTTGTGTCATGGAAGAGGAGAGGAAAGAAAAAGGTTAAAGGACTAAGATTTTATATGGTACATTCTGTGGATATTTTGCTTATTATTTTTGGATACATTAAAACTGAATACCGATATTTTGGATGATAGTAGAGATGCAGTAAATACATTCCTGAAATCAGATACTTTTTTTATCCTAAAAGATCCCAAAAGAATACAATACATTTGAAACACATAATTCACCAAGTTAAACCAAAACTTCTAATCCTTTTAATCAACTAAACTTGATCTTTGTCGAGAATAGCGTTTCAAAATATAGCCCTCTCGTTACTGCAAGTAGGGCACTTGTAGTGCTCGATAGAATCGGCTTCAGCAGCGGTAATCTTCACACACGAGCCATGAAACCATCTGTCGCATAAATCACAGCATATCCAGAATCCATCGATACCATAAAAGGCTCCACAAGCTCCACATAATGTTGCTCCCTCTTCATCAACTTCTTCCTTCACACCTCCAGTCACAACTTCAACTATCGTGGGGAGATCATTAATCATCTTGAATAGCTTTTCCCTGTGGAAACCAAAATTTTAACCTGGGTTTGAACCAAATATAGTTTAAAAGTCTCCCGTACACTTCTTCTGAAGGGGGAAAAAAAAGGGTGACATACAGGCATCTAAGGGAACATGGCGGTCCTTGATATTTTGGGGATTTTATGCCAACTTCAAATAAGGAGCCTCTATAAATATTAGGATAAATCTATATGTACAAAATTATTGTATATAATGGATTACATATGCCCATGTGGAAGAAATCCGGCAGTGGATGTAAAGTGTGGAAAAGTAAAAAATTGTAGACTATCGATAAATGCGCGTCACATGTCAATTATGTAAATGATTATGTACTTGTAACATGGTCCTAAATTTTAAGTTCCCATTTTATAGAGATTAAAATTAGATTTTTAACATATTTTGATAAAAGTTGATGAAATGTGTGGTTGAAAATTTGATAGTCCTATGAAATTTGTGATTAAAATTAATTTTTGATTGACTTAGAAAACATTAAAATAAAATTAAAAAAAAAATGAAACATAATTAGGAAAATAGGAAGACAAAATACAATATTTAAACTCTAGTACAAACATATAAGAAAAAAAATAATAATAAGTGGATCGAAAAAATCTCAAATTACATTACATAACACATAGAAGCATTAGTTTAATTAAAACATTAATCCATAAAATGACATTGAAAAATTGAAAAAAATGACAAATAAAACGAATTGCAACAATAGAGAAATGAATACCAATGCATTTAAAAGCAGCTCTTTGAATAAGTGTAGACCCACCATGAGAATATTAGAAAAAGTAATGACAGGAAGTTTTGAAGAGAGAATTGACATCATGTTTCTTATTAAGAGTGTGTTTGTGACACATTCTTTTGAAAGAATGTATTATTGAATAATAGATTGATGGAAAATGTGTGGTTAAAAATGAAGGAAAAGTTATTGATGTGATGAAAAATAGTACTTTATAGAAGAATGTGTGATTGAAAATGAGTAGAAGAATGAAAATGAAAAAAATAATACCTACCAAACAGGGCCTAAGAAAAAGAAAAATTATGGTTGTGAACATAAATGGTAAAATTAATTATATATAAAGAAATTAATAACTCTGATATATTTATATGATACATAAATATATGTGATAAGTTTTATGTCATTTATATAATTTTTTTTTAGAGATATTTGTATTTTCAAATTTTATTAGTTACTCGTGTTTACATATTATAATTCTAATTTAAAGAATTTCGTAATTACAATTTTAGTTTTTCTTCAACCATTCAATTAACCTCACATAATTTGGGGCCATCATAAAAAAACGAGGTCTTAGGCGATCATATACGCCGCCGATAGTCATGGCTGGCCTGGTAGGGGAATACTCGAAGTATATTAATAAAGGGAAATTTTTATTTCTAAGAGATTAAGTACGGCCAATTTCAAAATTAAGAAACAAGATTTATCATTTCAAAAATCAGATATTAATTAATTTTGTTTTTGAAATAATTAATTAAAAATATGTTTTATTAATTAAATATATTATGGTCAGAATTGCGTGTTTATATATCACAATATATATTTCGACCACATATTATCAAATTAATTGGTCATAAATTATTTTTCGATTACAAATAAAGAATTTTATAGATCACAATTTATTTATCAATCAAAAATCACAAATTTATAGGTCCTTACTTATTTCACGGTCAGAAATCACAAATTTTATGAGTCATACCTTATTTCACAATCACAAATTATCAAATTAATTTGTCACAATTTATCAAATCTTGAGTCACAATTATAAATTTAGTCACAATTACACATTCTTTGAGATCATATATTATTTATTGATCACAAATTAATAATTTATTAATCACAAGACCCAAATAATTGATCCCACCCACCCACACCATACCATACCATCACCACACAACTCACCACCACACCCACAACCTATGATTCCATCATCAATCGAGCAAAAAAAAATCAGAAAAAAAAAAAAAAAAAAATCTGTGACGAAGGAGCAAGGAGGAGTGCTATCGCCGGAGGAGAGATGAACAAGGAGCATAATCCCAGTCATATCACTGTCGCATCCCCGTTACAATGGAGCGACACCATGAGCATTTCCCCCATGAACGATAGTCGTAGTCCGCTTTGCGCGGCGCTACACTATCGGAACATTGGTAGAGATGGAGAAGGTGGGGAGGGAAAAGTGAGAGGAAGGTGAGAGAGAGAATAGATTAAAATGTTTTAGGGTTTGAAATTGGGTGAGATGAGTATATTGGTGGGTGGTGGGTTTGTAAATTTATGTAATTCTATATTATTATTATTATTATTTAAAAATTATATTATCATCTGATTTTTGTATTAAAAAACTTTAAATCTGAATTTTGAAGTTGAAACTTAAAAATTCTGGTTGGGTGTAATTTTCACATTAATGAATTAGGCACAAACACACTCAGGGTTTACTACTATTACTTGGAATATATTTGGAAAACATCGTTTCTCGATTGGGTATATCTTCAAAAATTCTTGCTGCGTAAGTGTTGTTGCATACATTGGGAATCTGAGTTTTTGGCAGAAATCACTAATTTACAAAGATTCACAAGTTTCATATCGAATGATCACAATGATCAATGCTCAATTAGCTAGCCAGAATGTCTCATATCGAATGATCACAATGATCAATGCTCAATTAGCTAGCCAGAATGTCTACTGAAAGTTGTAGATCAAAAGCTGGAAATATAAGTGTCTACAAATATAATGCCACACCACAAGGAGTAGTTCGCAGAAATGACAGCAATCTAACAAATATATTACCTTTCACTCTTATCAAATCCATAGTCTGTGGCCATGTGGAATGCAACAGATAGTAGCCACAAGTCACTGTGAAGTGCAACATCTTTTAACCAATCCTTTTCTTTTAGCGAGTCTCTGCTGAAGTTTATACCCAAAACCGGCTCCGGAAGTTCAGGAGGCACCATCTCAGTAGGCGGCTTGACTTGCCATGTTTCATTTGGAAATGCAAAGAGACAGAGGGGCTCCTTTTCTGTAAAATATCAGTGCATCCGGAAACAAATGACTGCGATATGTCAACTGCGTAAAAGTAAGAGAGAGCAGCCATATACACAAGATGACAGCAATGTTAAATATATTAATGCCCAATTCTTGAAGATCCACTAACGTTTTTCTTTGTGACATGTTTTATTAATAATGAATAGAAAACCTACATAGACTTCGGAGTTAAGAGGAGGGCTCAAAGTAATCTCCAGCAAAAGGTGCAAAGAAATAGAACAATCGTTAATTGCCATAAAACGCTGCTGTCTACATGCATTTATATCGCTGTGATGTCTATGAAAGTAGTGATCTGAATTTGCAATTATGGACTAACAGAAGTGAGAAGACGATGGAAAGAAAAAGAATCTGAAACATACACACGCAAAAAGCACAAGACATAAATTTCATAAGCAATGAAAGAAGAGTCCCAAATTCAAGAAACAAAATATGAAAGTAAAACTCACCAGGATCGCATTGCTGATGAAATCTCTCAAAATCTGCAATACCTCGAGAGATTATAATAAATAAGAATGAACTAACAACAAAATTTGAGAAGAATATACCCAGATCTTAATATCAAGAATTCACATACGTAAATGCACATTTATGCATCCCATATATGCAAGTGTACACCAAGTACATATATATGTACACATAAAAGCAATACATTATACAATGAGATGAAAAGATACCAACGGTGAGAGCTTTGATGAAGCCAGCTCGGCGGCCTTTGAAATTGTTGAAGACTTCCGCTGCAGTTCGTGGTGTAGGAATCATAATTCCCATTGGTGTAGGAGTCTTAAACGCGGCTCTTTCCCAATCTTCTGTATACTGAAACGGAAAACCCATAGTGATTATTTTGCTGTAAATTTTTATAGTTTCTTGCTAATCCTCCCTTTAATTCACGATATTGATTCTTGATGAGTCTGTTTTATGTTCTTGAGATTGAGAGTGAGACACTAACAAGCTATTTTATGCCTTCTAAAATCAAGTAATGATATACAGGATAACAACGTTTTAATTCATTGAACAATAAAACAGTGGACCTACAGCCACCTAACACCAATAGTGTTACATGGCATCATTCTTTGAAATTGACCGAGCATTCATTAGGGATAATGTTATCCACATTTAGGACCAAGCAACACATTTGGCATTAAATAGTAAGTCTCTAATTAAATGTATGGATATACAATATATTTAATTGAACCAATCATTTAATGTCATCTAAACCACTGTTAAATACACCTTGTGTGTTCACACTAGAAACGATAAAGATAGAATGTTAGTTGAACCGATTAATAAAAATAGCATGCACAATAGAAGTGATGCGGTATTCTTGTGAAGACACAAAAAAATAAAAAAATAAAAATAAAAATAAAAAATAAAATGAAAAAAACCTCACCTATAGGAAATTAGTGTCGTCATTTGCTTTCCCTTTCAACCCAAAAAGTCTAGCCTCGTTGTGTTTAGGACCAACCTAGGAGCAACATGTCACATTAAACGATATATCTATTTAAATGTATAGGTATACGACCCATTTAATTGAACTGCATTCAGACAGTTGCTAAATACCACTACTACTAGACACGAAATATATGGGATGTGAGTTGAATCAGTTATTAACAATAGCACGCACAATTGAAGTGATGAATTAAAATAAAGATGTACACGATGGAATGTACATTTAGCATAATTCATATGAAAAATGGTAAAGATGGGAGCTTAGTCGAATTGGTTATCGAAAACAGTATGCACGATAATGTGATTACTATTGTGAAGATAAACTAAATAAATAATAACAAACAACTTAACCTCTAGAAAATTAGCGTGTCGTTCACTCTCTTCCTATTCTAATATGGACATGGTGTTCTTGACAAAAATAATTTTTTTCGATTTGCTAGAAAAAAACAATCTCATTCTCCGTGCCTGCAATTACTAATCGTGTTTAATTTATCATGTTATTAGGTAAAATGTATCATATTACTAGTGCACAATTTTTGGAATTTTGACATTGCAAATGTGGAAAGGATCGAATTTGAAGGAAAACATTGGGAAAATTACAGAGGAGGTCCCTAGTGTATTGAGAATATAACGAGTAGGTCATCAGCCTAATATTTGGCAACCTCACTTCACTACCTTTATTTTGTAACGTATGAGTTTCCAATTGATGATTTTACTATTTTCTCCGATTTTCGCATTTTTTACCAGGTGAAAAATGATGTAGGAATGGTGGTGATGATGAAAATGCTTCGTATAATAATCTTGGAATGAGTCAGCCATAGGTTCCGGTTTTTGTGCCGGCAAAAGTGAATGCGGCCTTCGTCGGCTCTCAACTCTCAGGAACCTCCAGTATGTAATGAAAGAATCCCTTCAGGTGCAATCAATGAAATCGTAGTAAACATGGTAATTCTTGTTCATATTCCTTGCAAACCTGTGCCTGGAGAATTCAACTTAACTAGATTCTGGTATGTTCTGATCGTAGAGGTTCGATCTTATGCTGCATAAAATGTGTGCGTGCTTTTAACTGATCCCTTCCAGGAGGGGTTGGATTATTGTAAACTAGTATAAGATTATGATACCTATTTATGGAGCATTCTACTTCATGATGTTATATTCTTTATGAGAAGGATGACAACGATGGTAGAGTCAGGAGTAAGCAAAAGTGAAAGTGTTTGTGGTATATTTATGCAGACTTGATCTTGGTTTATGCTGCAGTGTCGCGTTATGAATTAACCTTATTATATTTTCTGATCAACTCTACCTGTGTATGTTACTATATAATGCCTCTTTGGTGTTGTGTTGCTTTAGGATTAAATGCTTTTGACCACTTATAAAAAGAAGAGACAACGCAGAAATTAAACCATCATGGAAAAATAGGCCTATATGCTGTTGAGAAACCTACCAACAGCATAGCGCCAACTGAACAATTCTCCATAAGAACTGAATTTCATTTCTTGATGGTCAGTGTAGAGGATTCTAGTTCATGTAACAAGGAAACCTAACATAGTAAAGAAAAATGATATATGTACCTGACCATAAATTTTCGAGAATGAGGCATAGTCTGTTGCTGTTGTTGCTGATGATGATGGCCATTGGAAGAGCGCCGTAGAGCATCTCTTTTCTATCCTGTTACCGCGCGCCCACTTCCCTTTCATATTAGTTTACTCAGGGAAATCCTTTGACAACCTTACTAATAGAAAAGGGATGTTCTCAAGCAGAGCACAGATGTTTTCCCTCCTCAACACCAGTAAGCCATTTAGCTTCATTATAGTGTTGTTTATGTGCAGATGTTGACCGCAAGACCAAGCTTGAAGTATACCCTTTTTTGTTCAAGTATAAATGTAATATTTTCAATTGATAGTTATGTAATGAATTAAGTGTAAATGTTAGTGATTATAAAAGGAATTATTTAATGAACGTTTAAACAGACATTAATAGAGTGGCACTCTTGCAGATATACACTTGATTTTTTCATTCTTTACCTATTACTTTGTTCTCAAATTCTGAATGTTTTTTGATTGAATCCTATAAATATTGGTTGTGCTATAGATGATAATTGTTTTGTCACTATTGCAATTCGTTGAAGGTAAGGTTTCATGATTCTATTGCAGTGTATTGGAGGAAGCCAGCCATTGGCACAATTAAATTGAAATCTGATGGGAGCTTTAAAGGGAGATCCAAGATGGCTGCTGCTGGGGGTGTAGCTAGAAATAGTAAAGGAGACGTTCTATTTGAATAATACGAATACTATGGCAAGTTTCCATGCTTAGAGGCAGAAATTAAAGCAGCTTGCTGCTCGTGCTTAGACCCTGTCATAACTTGGTTATAGATCATGTTTGAGCTGAAGCCGATTTCAAGGTCCGAAGCCTTTTCCGATCCGTGATTTGCACTCCTGCATGCGCACGTGGAGAGAGCATCTATGCTACACACGATTACATCCTTTTAAAGTGTAATCATATTTAAAGTGGTCATTGCATTTATCCATTTTCCTATGTGGGATAACTTTAACTAGTTTCCCTCCAACACAAAATCTCTTCCAATTCATCACTTTGAGCTCCAATTTTTTATTTACACGAACATTATTTTTGGCAAGTAAAAATATGGTTTCGATATTCTCATGGAGGAGAACACAAATCAATCATGATCTTCCTAAATAAACAAACGGACCCCACTCAAAATTTATGCCAAAGTCAGCCCTTCAATTTATTTATTTTTTCCAACAAATGTTAAACCCTCAACTCAAATTCAGGTAAGATTGTCTAAAAATCATTACTTGTCTTGAGTGGATTTACCAAATAAAGGTTTCATTTCCATGTACATATTTTCCAAATATGTCCTATAATTTTAAACTAATTACGGATTACTAGTATTGACGTGAAAGTTTGCAAATTTCATGTAAATTCAAAAATAAATAGAAAAGAAAAGAAAGCAAAATAGAAAATTGACCTGTCGTGTCTACTTGCGAACAAGAAAAGCACTTCTTTCTGTTTGAGTAGCCAATTTGCCAACGTCCACTTCAACTGTGGCTCTACATTGATTATCCACCTTACTATAGCTGCCTCTTGTTTCCTTTAGGATACGTCCCTACGTGCGCGCACACACATGTAAATATTCACGGTTAAGGCCACTCAAACAGAAACTATTGGTTCTCGGTTCTACCATTAAAAAAAAAGAGAGAGAGAGTAAGCAATTTTTAACATTAGTTTATTCAACTGATTATATTTTTAAACTAAAAAGGTAAAGAAATAGAAATTATTTATGGACCTCCCAATCCTATCGGTTTCCAAAAATTACCTTTCAAGCTTTTCTAGATCTCCTTCAGCAAGTTTTGTTGCATGGTAACGAAGGAAACTAATGGCACTAAGGCCCTGTTTGATAGATTAGAATTTCCTGGAAAATGTCACGTCTCAGAAAAATGAATTTTACTTTGGCCGTTTAATTACAACGTGAAAATGAAAACTGGATTCCAAGGTACACACACTTTAAACTGCATTTTCTTTGTCATCGTGGAAAACGAATTCCTATGGATTTGACTGGTTTTTATTTTCTAACTAACATGAAATTGAAATTCATTTCCACATTTGCCTATCAAACGTACCCTAAGGGTCTATTTGATTGGTTTAAATTCCATGAAAATGTGAGATCCGAGAAATTCAATTTCTACTTTGGCTATTTGATACGAAAGTGGAAATGTAGTTCAAATTTCAAAGTACAACCAATTTAAACTTATTTTTGGCAAATTTCATGGAAAATGCATTCCTACGAGGTACTTGGCTTTTTATTTTCCAACTTACATGAAATTGAAAAGTTTTTTCACTTTTGCCAATCAAACGGACTATAAGACTAATACTTTTCTTGAATGTTGTATTAGTGAACGCAATCACACAATTTATACAATCTGTCAAAAATAATGGTCTCAATTAAGATTAGAAGTTGCTGAGTGTGGATGAAAAAAATTAAAAATATATGAAAATTTGGTTCCTAATTGGGTTCTGATCCGTTATTTCAATAACTTAAATCATGCATTGAACTTCAGATATTTTGTAAATAAAATCATTTGGTTACATGTAATTGTTGGAAATGAAAAAAATAAAAAATAAAATTGACGATTCTAGTTCAATTTGAGTTCGAGAGGTTCGATTTCCATTAAAATACCCACCACTATATGGAAGATGCATCTTTAAAAGTTAAGATGAAACTTGGGAGACTCGATGGTTCAACTGGGAGCCAAATGAGTCGGCCATAGGTTGATGTTGTATCGCTTGGTTGAACGCTTTGATTCTTGATCTTTTAAACTTTTTCCTGGTTAAAACTTAATCATAGAAAAATATCTTTTATGCATCCCT